TTAGGCCACACCATTCGCCAGCTAAAAAACTCAACTACTCGGAATTAATTCATTTGATCTCAAACAAAATGTTGGAAGGAAGAAAAACAGGATTGAAAGATGGACTCCCTTGGACAATACGAAGTTTGAGTTACAAAAAGGAAAACGCTAAAACAATATTTTAATCGTCAAAACTCACCCTTTCATTTAACAATTTTGACTCTGTCTTCGGCAAAAGGAAGCGGACATGATTCTGTTGCTTTCAGCATGTAAATTTCTGGCAGGTGCATCCTCCGATGTAGGCCTACAGTGATATTATTCATAAAACTGAAGGAGTCTGGCCGAAAATTGGCCGAAGTAGATGGCATGCGCGTAAGCAAGAATTTCATGATGATGCTATAATGAGCGGCGCTGTTTACCTAATTTGCATATCAAGATTTCTGTGTTGGTGGGGGCCCCCACCACCCATCGCCCACTAGGGTCGGGATATGTTGCAAGGACCGAAAAAAGAAAAGGAAATATGAAATTCCACCCTCCTCCTTTTGAGCCCCCCCCCCCCGGATTTTAAGCTTCCTGGTTTTGAGTACTCTAACCCCGGCCCCCCTCTACACTCACGAGGCATCCTCCCCCACGCCCCCCCCCCCCCCTCCACCGGGAACCGCTTATGTGCACTCCCCTTCCATGGGGTCCTGATATGGTGCAGGTGTAAGAAATGAAAGACAGGAATTATTCCATTATTCTGGTTCTCAGTACCCCCCTCCCGTTCCTTTCCCCCCACCCAGGGGACCCCACCCCGCCCCTCAAGGTGTTGGGATATGTGCAATGGCCATTCAACCAAAGAATGTGCATATTCCACCCACTGTGTCTTTGTTCCCCCGCCCCCCCCCCATCCCCTCCCCCTCCCCCACCCCACCTGCAGGCCTCCCCCACCCCACCCGCGGGCCATCCCCACCCCAACCCACCGCCCAACTCCGTTGCATCGGGATACAGGGTAAAAGGGACAGAAAAAAAAGAGACACACACACATTTCATCAAACGGGATCCCTTTAATCAAACGGGATCCCTTTAATCTTCGTAACCGCCTTTCACTGAGCTATATATATCTCCTGCACGTTGCACGTGTTTATATCACGTGATTACTTCACTATCATTCGCAATTTTGGGCAGTTTTAGCGAGCAATTTTTATGCATATTGCTCGCGGCCATCGCCGTATCAGACCGGCCACCCACATGTGCCACACCATATCAAAGCTGAAAACCTGTTCTATATGGAACTAATTCCGGTTTTCCCGAACCAAATTCGAGAAGAGAGAAATTTAGGATTAAAAAGATGGACTCCCTCGAAAAATAAGAAGTTTTGGTTCCTAAAAAAAAAACCGCTAAAAAATGTTTCAACTGTCAAAACTCAAGCAATAGGTCATCGATTTTGATGCTTTCTTCGGCAAAAGAAAGCAGATATCATGAGCTTTTCTACTGTAAATTTCTGGCATGTGCACTCTCCGATGCATAATGATTTCATTCATAAAACTGAAGCGAGTCGGGCTGAAATTGATGGCATGAGCGCAAGCACGAACTCAACGTTGACGTCATAATGAGGGGCGTGTTGACCCCAATTTGCATAGGTGAATTTCCGCGATAAGTTTGTATGTGTTGTATTAACTGAGTTGAAGTCGTGGACCTGGTGACACTGCACAGGCGGCATAGCCCCATAAATGTGGCCAATTTACTGGACTACCTCCGTAAATAAAGGCCACACTTCCACCATGTACAAACACATGTCGAACTTTGTCAAATTTTGATTTTCACATTTAGGCTTATTTTTGCTTTAGAATAGAAAGCATAGGCCTACTCGCCCTCTTTTATAGGCTAATCAGAAAGGGCTGCCTTTTTCAGATGTCTAGTTTTCGTGAAATTTCCAGATTCATTTGCACACGTTTGTGTATCAAAATTTCAACATGAAATTTCATGAAAATTGTGGCATGAACCACATGACTATTCATGGCTATTATGACACTGAATGAAGAGGTCAGATTTTTCAAATAGTTGGACAACAGTTGGACATGTATACCAGTCTAGTCTTAAGCCTCATTTTGGAATCACTTGACTTGCCTTCTCATATGCAAAATATTGAGGAAATACAAATTGAATTGCAAATTTGGTTGGTGAAATACTGAGGAACTTTTCTTTGCCTAATGGAATGTTTTGGAGAAATTTGTTGGCCTAAAGAGTTAAGTTGGCCTGATTTAGAGCACTCCAGTTCCTAGCCCCATAAATGTGGCCTATTTACTGGACTGCCTCCGTAAACATAGGCCACACATCCACATGTACAAAAATCGTATCGACGGAGCCAAATTTTGATTTTCACATTTAGGCTTAGTTTGTAGGGTTTTTTTGCTTTAGAAGCATACTCACCCTCTTTATAGGCTAATCAGAAAGTGCTGCCTTTTTCAGATGTCTAATTTTTGTGAAATTTCATGTTGAAATTTTGATACGCAAGCGTGTAAAAATGAATCTGGAAATTTCACGAAAAATATACATCTGAAAAAGGCAGCACTTTCTGATTAGCCTATAAAGAGGGTGAGTATGCTTCTAAAGCAAAAAAACCCTACAAACTAAGCCTAAATGTGAAAATCAAAATTTGGCTCCGTCGACACGATTTTTGTACATGTGGATGTGTGGCCTATGTTTACGGAGGCAGTCCAGTAAATAGGCCACATTTGGGGCTATCCAGTTCCCAGTCTTAAAGGAAAAATACAACATTTGCAAACATCGAAAAATTAAACTACCAAGTTGTTATATGTTACGAAATACCTTACTAGGATGTTGGTAAATGACATGCTAAAGCATCCTGTAAAATTATGGCACCTGGTGTGAAGCCATTTTCAAGAAAATGGTATATTTGTATACATTTCCAACGCTGGTCGGCCGACCACCGTTGGAAAAACCTACCTATTTTTCAATTACTGCTCCAAATTTACCATTTTTGTTTAGTCTAAATTTTGTTTTGCTAGCTATTTGTTCCATGTTCATGAACGGGTGCGGGCCAGCTAGACTGGTTCCCTTACCTTACAATTTTCCGGTATTTTTGATCCATTTCATCTTTAGTGGAGTCAGGGAACCAGACTACTTGAATATTTTTGTTTTTCTTGGTTTTTCCAGCATTTTGGAACACAAAACGTCAAACATGTCAGTGTAACAATATTTGATCTGTTATACTAACCCCTCAAAATAGTTCATTTCTGAAAATTACAGCAAAAGCCAATGATGTACATTCCTTAAAAGTTCAAGGGCACACAGCCAGTCCACACTACACAAAGGATTAAAAAGTGCATATAACAAAACAATTTTTACCCTAAGGCCAAAAAAAAAAAGTATCCGGTTTCTGGTATGCGCGCGCGTCGCCGTAGCCATGCGTGTCGGCAAAATGAAAAAGTTTTTTTTTCAATGAAAGATGAAAGTGTCTCAAAACCGCCAAACTCACTGGTTTGACTGGAATCCTGCTGCTGCACAATTTTAACGTGTTTTTAGATGGGGTTTTGATCGAGAATAAGCTTTATGTGGCCTCTCTGAACTCCCATATATTTGCACTAAATTTAGTCGGGCACCATTTGCAGTCATCAGTCGACATTTGAAGCAAAAAAGTCAGGTAAAAAAAAAAAAAGCTGCGTCGCCGCACCACTTTTTGGACAAGCTCCATACCAGAAACCGGAGACTTTTTTTTGGCCTAACAAAACAATTTTTACCCTAAGGATTGGAACAATTTTATTTCACGAGTGATCTATTCTTTGTTGTGTACATGCAAAGGTTGTAAAAAGATTAAACTGCAGGTTAGGCATACTATAGTACTAGCCTATAGCTTGTCCCTGGAAAGAAGGAAATCATTGTTCACTGCAGATGCCTCTTTTGGGTTGTGTGTGATAGAACTTTTCTGACCATTTCTAACAAAGTGAAATATTGGTAAGTCACATGTTTTTTTGGTTTTTTTTAAACAAAATTTTGTGCAGTGATGATGATGAATCCTTGTCCATCTGCGATCAAGCTACTTTTTCCAGCTTCATTTTTGAACACCATTTGTTACATTCAAGCCATGATATGATTACACTTGCAGGGTTGCACTTACTTCTAGAAGTAGAAGGCTTCTCTCCATCAGCTGACGGAGAGAAGCTTTCTAATTCTAGAAGTAGGCAGCACTTACATACATACATGTATATGCAGTTTATACGTAAAATATTATCAATTTGACAGTGTTCAGTTTACTGGTGTACGGAAACAGTGATAGATTTGTGTATAAATGAGCAGATTGATAGAGCTTCAGATAAGCGATGTACATCCTCGGACTTTGTGCACATCAATATCTGATATCTCTGAGCAGTGCCCATTTTATTATCACAACCACACTGAGTTAGCTACAAACCACTGCCTCAGACCAGAAAACTCCTGGGGCATAGGCCTATATTTTTATACGTGTTTTTCAGGTTTTGTGTGTATACTCTTGAATGCACACATTGTGTGTTGGCTGGGTAGATTAGTTCAGCACTGATGCGCTTGACAATTTCTGAGGCTATCGGCCAGGCATGCCAGGTAAGTACTGTAAAGTAGCCTTTTTTGTTTGGTTAAATTGTGGAAATCTTTTTTTAATTTCTCTACTGTGCAATGTGCATTCATGTATTGTGCTTTAGTATTTGAATAAGTGGGGGGGGGGGGGGGGCTTTTATGTGCCTACATTTTCCACACTGATCAATCCTTTCAAAAACTGAAATAACCGTCTTAGTAAATCGGCCATGTTCACATTCAGACTGCTTGCCACATCTGCGCTAACAAAACTGGAAGTTACTCTCAGTTAATTCCTTCCTCCATGGTCTCATACAAGCTTATACATTTATTCTGTGCAGTAGTGATCGAATACTGCTCTATAACTGCTCACGTTGTCAGAGCAGTACTTTTATTCTTTGCATGTTGTGTATTTTGCATTGGATGTGTGTGTTATAAATGATCGAATACGTTGTTTTTGCACACTTTAAGCAGACTGAAGTTTCCATACAAACTTGAGAGGTTGTTACCATGTCAACAAGCTCAGTTGCATCATGGGTAACGGCAGAGGTGGACTCCAACGAGAATATCGTAAGTGTCGACCTGCAACATTAAAAAAAAGTTTTGTGAATCACTATTGTTTTCTACTTTTATGCCAATAAAAAAACAAAAACATTTTTAGCGTCCTGCCTTTTTGCAAAAAAAGGAAGCGGGAGGCCCTTTTTTTCCCCTTAAAATGGCCGCCCGACTGGGCTATATTTTTCAAGATTGCTGCCATTTTTTTTAAAAATGGCTGCCATTACACTCAGGAAATGACATACCATCTTTAAATGGGCTAGATGCAAGAGACAAAAAGGCCAAAATGATGTCACTGTTTAAAATTTATCATTTTTTTTTGGTTAAAAAAAAAAGGAAAAAGGAGGCGGCCTCCAAAAAAGAAAGATGCGAAACATTTTTTTTGAAATTTGGCGTTAGCCTATTGTAAGATTATTGGCACTAACATAGTACAAGCCGGTGCCGTATCGGAGCTGAGCAGTTTTAAGATGGATTTCGTATGCATGAGAGTAGGTGTGAAAAGGGTTTCTGAAACAAGGCTCAACATTTTTTGTTTTATTATAGACCATGTGACCTGTGACGTCATGCCGACAGGCAATCGCCTGGCAACCCAAACATTTAAACATTTCGCATATGTTACTTGGCCCACCCGGTTTATGTCAACGCTTTTAAACTATTCATATTTCAAGAGATATACATGCAGTGCAGATGAGAACAGGTTGCCGAAAGTGGGCATCCCTTGACCACAATTTGTACACAAATGTCACATGGTCTGAACTCTGAGCTTAAATTTATCATTTGAACAGGTTATCTGACACTTTACGATTTCAAAACAGGGTGTGCAGAATACATCCAAGACTCCTGTTTAAACAAGACAGTGTTTAATTGATCAATTCACAGTTTTATGATGTCATGGCAAAGTCAGCAAGTAGTAAGAGTAAGTTTACGGTTGTATCATGTGATGAGGAATCTCTTTTGTAATTTTGTGAGGTTCTGAAAAAAAACTATAAAAACAGGCATGCAACTTTTCCTCGGATCCGCTGATTTCCTCATTTTTAACTTCTCATGAATGCCATTACAAATTGAAAAACACTGTACAAAATCTTGTGTGGTTTTGAATTTCCTTTTTTTTTTCTAAATTCCCAGTTGCATGCCTGTAAAAAAATAAAAAAATTTCATGTCTCATTGTAAAATTGCAATCTTGAACAAAGATGACAAAATGTGGCACCACCAACATAGGGCTGGATAGCTCAGTTGGTAGAGCTCTGAAGCGGTAATCCGGAGGTTGCAGGTTCAAACCCCCTTTAGTGAATTTCTTTGTTCAACTTTAAAAAATATTTATTCTGATTAAGCTGTCTTTATCGTAACACAGGAATGTTGTGGATATAAGAAGAACCCCCTAAAGACCGCTGTCTGCTACGTCGTTGCTGTACTCTCCTTGGGATTTCTCTTCCTCGTCTTCTACTGGAAAGAAGACTGGCGGCTTAAGTGCATGTGTGCACCTTGTCATCTGAAAGAGGCAGATTTTGTCCTCATCAAGGTACAACCAAGAAATCTGTAAAAAAAAAAAATGTAAAATCTGTTGCTATATTTTTATTATGAAATTTTTACTCATGAAAAATGGTGTCTAAGGCATTTTGAGATTTCCCAAATGTGTAAGTGCTTTCTAATAAAGTTTCAAAGGTTATATGGACTGGAGAAACTGTCAAAAGAACGTTTTTATTGTATTTATCAACCAAATCCAACAGGGAGATCATGACGCAAAAAAATCAACATGTGTCAGTTTGTGTACATCTGATACAGTAGCCATTTTGGGCTTGTCTGTATGTGTTTCTAGCAGTAAATAAAGCCATCAAATTAAGAACCAAAGCTGCCAATATCAAACTGGTGGGTCTAATTAATACACATACAGTACATGTCAATTCACTTAATCAATGGTAGCACCTGTGTTTAAAGCAACAGTGGTCGGCCAACCATCGTTGGAAATTGATTCAAAAAGTCAACTTTTCTTGAAAATGACAGCACACCAGGTGCCATGATTTCACAGGATGTTCGAGACTTTTATTCACTTACAGTCAAGTAAGGGATTTCATATTAATTAGGTGGTTTTGTTTTTTGATGTTTGCAAATGTTGTAGCACCAATTGCACAAACACCACAAAAATTACACAAAAATTGCAAAGTAGCCAGGACGATGACAAGAGCAGGCTAGTCAAAACGTTGAGTCCAAAGACATGTTCTTAAAGCAGGACTGTTCTTATCAGAACAAAAGCTACTTAGCGAAGTTGATAATAAGCAGGACAAGTTCTTTTCAGAACTAAATATCTTCTGAACAGTAGTTATTACCACATGGTTTTACTGAAGCGAAACAATATCCAGGATTAGTTGTCGCATTTATATAATCTACTTTTTATTTGATTTCATCAAACTACTATCTATCCCCTTAAAGGGAATGTACATCATTGGCATTTGCTGTAATTTTCAGAAATGAACTATTTGAGGGGTTAGTATAATAGATCAAATATTGTTACACTGACATGTTTGAAGTTTTGTGTTCGAAAATGCTGGAAAAACCAAGAAAACCAAAAATGTTCAAGTAGTCTGGTTCCTTGACTCCACTAAAGATAAAATGGATCAATTTATAGATGCCGGAAAATTGTAAGGTAAGGGAACCAGTGTGGCTGGCCTGCACCCGTTCATGAACATGTAACCAATAGCAAACAAAATTTGGACTGAAAAAAGTGTAAAGTTGGAGCAGTAGTTGAAAAATAGTTAGGTTTTTCCAACGGTGATCGGCCGACCACCGTTGGAAATGTATACAAAAATACCATTTTCTTGAAAATGACTTCACACCAGGTGCCATAATTTTACAGGATGCTTTAGACTGTCATTTACCAACATCCTAGTAAGGTATTTCGTAAAAACTTGGTAGTTTTATTTTTCGATGTTTGCAAATGTTGTATATTCCCTTTAAATTGTGTTAAGAGGCAAACATGGTTCACTCTGGACAATATGGCTCCTGTACTGCACTTACTCACATTTGATTATCTGACTTTCATGTTGTACAAATTCCAGACTTTACACACAGGTCAGTTTTCAGTCAAACTTGTTGAGTTCCAATCTTTGTTTAACAGGACATTTACCGGCGATATCATGTTTGTGACATTCGACGGAACCTTGTCAAAGATAACGAGTAAGTTCACTGATAAGACACAGTAAAGCAATGCTACCAAGCTCAGATGACTTTGTTATTGACTTAACGACTGTGCAATGAAATACTTGAATTATGACAAGCCAGATTTTGTAAGTTTTTTTTCAAATCAATTTTTACAAGATGTTTTGGTTCCGTGTACTGTAACATTCAAGGGTAGATGTGTTGATGAAAATTTGGTGACATAATTTATTACAATAAGATTATTGTTATCTTAGCAATATTCATATTATTTTTTTTATTTAGTGGCTGCAGTCGTGAAATGCTTCGCACCATTCTTAAGAAGGATGTCGTTGATGCAGACGGAAATCTGAGATTTTTCAAATTTCAAAAGATTTTCTTTATCTTGGATCTTGCTCTGCATGAGATATTTCGTCTCAGGTAAATGACAAAAAATTAATTAATATGAGAATAATTCAACTGACAAGATGTTGGTGTATCCTACGTGTTATTTAACACAATTAATGTTTGCAGTCGTAAGTTTTTTCAACTAAATCATTCACAATGTGCTATCGTTACTTAAGTGATGATTTACAGAGTTTATGCACACCACCAGTTTCGATAATTATTTGATTCCTGCAAACACGCTTGCTTCCCAGTTTTGAAACTATAAAAGTAAATCCCCAAACAGTTCATGCAGGAAAAGATTGAAATTGAACTTTGTTTTAAAAAAATGAAGTAATTTTTCTTTCAACCACTAGGGGACTTGAGAGTAACACGCCATGCAATGCTTTCCTGAAACAATATGCTGGTGGATTGTCAGAATCTCAATCCGAACAAAGGTAAAACCCTCTCTTTTATGAAATGTAAATTGATATTTTGTACTTTGCATATCCTGAAAAAAAAAAACCACCAAAACCTTGTAACTTACTAAGTGGAGAATGGAATTTGATGCTTTTTTTCATGAGGTTAAGTTGCAAATACCATAAGATATAGTTCCAGGAATAAAGCCAAAAAACAAATTAAAACTGAAGACTTTTTTAAAGAAACGTTGTTTAATTAGACTTAATTAGTGTCTCACAGTGGAGCTGTAGGGCAGAGGAAATGTCCACACATGCCCACAAAGCTCCCAGTGGAACTAACTTTCGTTTTCTTTTTTGTCACATAGACAAGTGATTTATGGCAAGAATGACATCTATGTTCGAGTGCGTTCCATCCCAGTATTACTTGTTCAAGAGGTATGTAATATTCTCATAACGCGACTCGTTCCTCTCGTGTGTAATATTATGAACACTCTTCATCTTTCACAAGAGCTTACTTGATTTGGCCAGACTGTAACTTGCCATCTGCTCCAATTGTTTTTGACCCCTGACACCCATTTCAGACTTGCGTTCTAGAGTCTTGCTAAACCATTTTTTTTGGAACTACTCAGATTGACTCAAATAGATTTTGGATTCAGATATTCAACCTTTGTGTATTAATTTTCTATATTCAGAAATACCTAATTGTTTACCCATTGCTACTGGTCGAGAGCCTGTCATGTGGCCTGTCTTAAATGGTTGAAAAAACACCGGCTGGCTGGTCTTAAACAGTTTTCCAGTGTCACGTAAAATTTTAACTCCTATGAAATCCAGTCCCTTTTAGCCGTTGAACGTTCTTAATCCTCGGTTAGGCATGCGCAATACTACCAGTGAGTCCATATTTCATAGTCCTAAATTCACACTGCACTGGTAAGCTGTGCTCTGCACCACATAGCGCAGTGCATGCAACGCGCACTCTAATCTCCATATAAGGAGTTGGTTACGAGAGGCACAGGCCATAACATAGCTACCGGTAGAGGGGTGTTTTAAAAAAACAGGAAGTAAACCTGTTGAACAAAATCATTGGAAAATATTGTTTTTTTACTTGTTTTGACTGTTTGAAGGATTGACTTCGGTCATTAATCCGGTCTTAAGATAGTATTTTAAACCGAACACATTTATTCCGTTATTCTCGAGTCATTCTCAACGACTGCAATAGTTGATATTTCGGCGAAATTGCTCCTGTTTCAAACATTGAACTTAAATTCATGTACTCAATTCAAATCTTCACAATAAATTAGTTCAATGCACCTCTGAAATGACAATTGGAAATGTGTTAATCTTTCCAGTGCTGACGCTGGCATGCTTGCCAATTCAAAATCAATCTAGGTCTTAAAATCTAAATCTGTGAAATGATTTCTTTTTCTTTTGGGTGTTTATACCCAGGGATAACTTTGGAAGACAAAAAGCCCCCGAAATCTTTGTGTTTTCTCTGCAGGTGTTGAATCCGTTCTACATCTTTCAAATCTTCAGCATTGCTGTCTGGTTAGCTGATGAGTATATCTACTATTCAGCATGTATTCTCATCATGTCGGCTATATCTATTGCTATATCTCTGTATACGACTAGAAAGGTAGGTGTGTGATGCTGGTGCTCGTTATTACGAGGTTCAGATTGTAAATTAGAGTTTCTCAAGAAATACTTGATGAAGATGAAACTTTGTCCTTCAGCATTTTATCTTTCAGCTTTTATCCTTCAGCATGTAAACTGTCAAATTGCAGCAATTTAAAGCCTTTTTAAATTGCTTCGGAAATAAAACTGAGATGTACCGTTTATCAATCAACTGCAAAAAAAAAAAGAATGTCAAGGACGAAAATGCAAATTAAAATATGAAGCATTTAGAAAGGTTTTTGTATCTGTCCAGTTTTTAGATGTTTCCTGGAAATGGGTAGTGATGTTCTTCATGAAAATTCCTGTTTCATTTTGTCATCAAAGTGTCAATTTTTGTTTTTAATAACAGCAAAATTTGACACTACGCAGCATGGTGCAGTCAGATACTGTGGTTAAAGTCTTGCGTCCTAACAACAGTAAGTACAGTTGAACATATTCTTAAAAACTATGGAGCTCATAAGAAGATGAATAAAACATTGGTTTCCTATCAAAATCACCTATGCTTTTGACAATACTGATCAACTGGTTATTGACTGATACACGTAAACCAACATTTATTGACAAAAATTGCATAACATAATGAGAAAAAAAACTGTTGCAGGTGATAGAGAGGAATTGATTTTTTTTTTCTCTTGATTTTCAGAGGCCGTTGAGGTATCTGAGAAGGTCTTAGTTCCTGGGGATGTCATCATTATTCCTCATCATGGCTGCATGATGACATGTGATGCTGTCCTCATCAGTGGAAACTGCATCGTCAATGAGAGCTCACTCACAGGTACAAAGACATTGCACTTCTTTAATGCTAAAAAAAAATGTGGCATTTGTGTTCTTGGGCAAGACACTTTACTACAATAAGCAGGCATGGTAGTTCCTCTGGTTATAAAATTTCTATTGGGGAGGATAAGGCCCAGCCAGCATTGATGCTCCTTGAAACTTGTTATTACACAGACAGTGTCATTTGTGTTCTTGGGCAAGACACTTTACTACAATAAGCAGGCATGGTAGTTCCTCTGGTAATAAGATTTCTATTGGGGAGGATAAGGCCCAGCCAGCATTGATGCTCCTTGAAACTTGTTACTACACCGGTGTCATTTGTGTTCTTGGGCAAGACACTTTACCGCAATATCCAGGCATGATTCTCCTTTTATTTTGTATTTCCTCCCCTTTCAGCATTCTCTACTGTGGACATGACACTTTTGGGGGTCTGCAGGACACTGAAATCATTGTTGGCCCACTGGTCTGGGGTAATAATAGTTTAATGACTTCTAGTAAACACAGGTGATTGAATTATGTCTTGTTAATTTGTAACCAGGGGAGAGTGTACCAGTGACAAAGACCCCCCTTCCACATCAAGGGGACTGCATGACTGAATACTGTCCCATTGAACACAAACGCCACAGTTTATTCTGTGGTACAAAGGTGATACAGACCAGACAAGGGGACACGGATGAAGTCAGAGCGGTGGTTGTACAGACAGGTAATATCTTGGCTTTTTGTTGCTTCAGTCTCTGACATAATTCATATAGCTTGGAGCAAATTCTGACGAGGCCCATTAGTCGACTAATTGTTTATTTGTAACGCGACTTACACCTGCCCACTAATGGCAACATGCGAACGCCTCCAGTCAAACGCTGGTCAAAGTGTCATCACAAAACTCCTTGATCCTGGTTTCCTGCCGTGCATAATTATGGTGCGGGCGGCTTTTGGTAACCAGCGATGGAAACATAAGTGCCTTGTGGTACGATTGTAGTCAGCTAGGGTAGTCCAACCATCCTTCTTCGAGCGAAGTTAGTTGAACTACAGGGTGAGTAAAAAAAAACCGAAACCCAAATGTCGGGACTGTTGTTTTATTGAAGTTCTAGTTTGCATGTTGACTTTCAAAATCTAGGATATGAAAGCCCAAATCATAAGCTTTCTTTTAGTATAAGAATCATTCCAATCACTCATGTACTTTTTAAGTTATGGAATTTTAAACACAACCACCGTTTTACGGTTCTGTCCACGGATCACAAAAAAAGGTGTGTGTTCTTTCAGCAAAACAAAAACAATTCACACACATCCCTATGTGATTTGTTTTCCTTTTGCTGAAAGAACACTGAATTTTGTTGTAATCCGTGGACAGATCCTTAAAACAGCGGTTCTATTTAAAATTTCGTAACTTGAAAAGTACATGAGTGATTGGAATGATTCTTGTACTAAAAGAAAGCTTATGAATTGTGCTTTCATATCCTAGATTTTAAAAATGCTACATGCAGAACTTCCATAAAACAATGGTCCCAACATTTGGGTTTCGGTTTTTTTTACTCACCCTGTATGGTTGACGATGGTTCACGCCCGAAATTGCTCTAGGGTGAAATAAGTTGGACATTCTCATTTTTAAACCATACACCGCTTGCACAGGGCGCCCTCACTGATTGCAGGTGTTGTTATTTATATTCAGGGGCAGTGTCTATACTCATGCAAATCACGGAGGAACAAATACCTGTCCTCTATCATGGCACTGTATGCACAGGGTCTATTTTATGTCGAAATAAAAATAGACGTGTTCAGCCAAATTTTGTACAGTATGTACATGTTCTACATATAACCCCCGAGGACCGACACACAAAGGGACAACAACAGATCCTTTCAGTCCTCGGAAGTTGGGTCTTTTGTTGGAAACGGTCCTCTGCAGTAAGTTTGTGTGCTTAGTCTATGGGAGACTGTTATATTACAGGGACAAAGGGAAACACAAAGCATTGTCCTCGAGAGTATAGTAAAACACGACTGTATTTGCATTCTCGTTAGGTGAAGGAATTTGACACTGCAAGTGACAAATTTGTATTTCCTCTGACTGCTCGTTTTTTCTCTCTTTTTGGCTTTTCTCTGTCATTTTGAATTCAGGTTTTTCCACAGCGAAAGGATCTCTAGTTCAGGCTATCATGTACCCTAAACCCATGGAGTTCAGACTGTATCGAGACGCCCTGCGCTTCGTTGGTCTGCTGGCTGTTATTGGTGAGGTTGCATTGTTATAGCCATGTCTGTTCCAAAACTCAGTAAATATGATACTTCTTGCAATGATGTCATGCACTCGTATGACACTGTGAGTATTAACTGAAGTTTATTTGAATTGGGAAATATCTCCATTCAATTCAATTCAATTTAATTATTCAATCTATTTTTAATTTGCAGCATTCGTTGGACTTGTTTACGCCATCATCATGATGACTCTAAAAGGAGTAAGTCTTTTTTTCTTTCTTTTTTCTTTTTTTCCAAGAACTGTAAGGTTACAGTTGGAAACAGATCAAGTTTTCAATGACGATTGTAAAGTGAAAATGTTTTGTTAATAAGCCAACGTGGTTGGTATCAATCTTCTGACTTCGGTTAAAAAAATTATGACAGAATTTGCTTAATAAAGAATTTGTGCTCATATATTTTGAGTGAACAATAAAAAAGCAGTAATTCTGGCTTTTTATGCAGTAAGGTTAAACCTTTTTGAACTTCTGTCACTGTTGCACCAAACATTTACATTGTGTGATTTTGCCTACAATCATTGGATCAATTCATCATGCATTTATTTTCAATTTCATTCCTTGTGGGCAGTCCTTTTGGTCTTTGTCACTGGTACACTCTCCCCTGGTAACCAATTAACAAGTCATAATTCAATCACCTGTGTTTACAAGAAGTCATTAAACTATTATTACCCCAGACCAGTGGGCCAACAATGATTTCAGTGTCCTGCAGACCCCCAAAAGTGTCAACCCAGAACAGACTGGACAAACGGCCTTAAAACCGACATGATGATACACTGATCGTTATATTTTTCTCATTTGTTTGCTGTCATATTTTTGGACTTGCACATAAAAGAGTAAGTTATCCCATATTTTCTTAAATTTGAGCCATGTGTGCATGTGTGCATGATGTTATTGGTCGCACTAGCATTGAATAGGAGCACACATGAATGCGTACTCCTTTGAAACTCATTTCTGTCTTGTAATTACATGTGCACACTGGATTAGAATAACATGGTTTATTTTGGTGTACTGTGTGTGGTTGTGTATTTGGCATGTGTATGATTTGTTCATCAGTTTGCTCAGTTTGTTTTGATTCACCCCCCATTATTGCCTGAACAGATATGTCAGTTGTACCAAAATCTGCTATATTATAAAGGTATATAGGATCATTTGCATTTATCCTAAAAGTAAGCTACCAAATTATTATCCAAAAGCGTACTTGGATTAATTGTACTGGTCACCACCTCGTGAAATTATCCCGTCTTGCTTGCTGTCTGGAAGAAATATAATATCAATAATATCATCAGTCAATGGATAGATTTTTTGAAATATTGAGTGCATTCAAGTAGCTCACATGGATCGACTCGGGTAAAGGTAGATGGGTTAGCCACGACAGCTGACCTAATCGAATGCTCAACCGCGGGCCATCACGATCCTCACGTGATGTCCATAGCCGTGGCCGTAGCCACTGACAAAACGCCTGTTTTGGGCTGGATCTTACTTTGAGATTTACTGCTTTTCAGTCGATTGCAAAACTCAAAAAAGTTGGGCTGGAATTATAGTCTCTAAAGTCACAATGAACTCAATAAATAAGTACCTTTAGACTTCAAATAAAGTTGATTTTTTTGGTCCACTTGAGATTTCCGCTGTCCGGCGGCTATATTTGTCAGTTTCTTGGAATGAACAACGCATGCATGTGACGTATTTCCACCACTGACTCTGCTCCGCGAGCAGGGTCTGTGGTGGCTGACCAGGGTGAGCCCCGAGAATGACATCAGAGCTAATCAAACGGCACGGGGCTAACCCTAGTTGATCCAGGTGAGCTACTCAAAACCCACCCAAGAGTGCTATAACCGAAATTATGTTTTGTGATCGAAAGGTTAAGCATTCCCCCCCCCCCAAGTTTTAACAAAAAGTGTAATATTCACTGAGCTCTGCCACCCTCAACAGGTTAGGTTTTGAACCTTCCTCTTTGGATTTCAAGTGCTAATATTGGAAACGAACAAAAAGCATGTAAATCAAATTAGGTTTTGGAAAAAAGTTGGAAAAAATCACTCGGGTGGGACTTGAATCCACAGGAGGTCGTGGGTTCGAGTCCCACCCGAGTGATTTTTTCCAACTTTCACTCGGGAGGTAACACACTGAGTATACAGTGTTTAATCGTCGGTGAAGGGCAAAACCTTATTTGATTTATATCACCCAGACGCAAAATTTCATCTTATAATAAAAAGCATGTAGAGCAAATGATTCTATATGCCTTTAAGTTTCGCTGATTTTAGTTTAAAGGGAATATACAACATTTGCAAACATCGAAAAATAAAACTACCAAGTTTTTGCGAAATACCTTAATAGGACGTTGGTAAATGACAGTCTAAAGCATCCTGTAAAATTATGGCACCTGGTATACTGTCATTTTCAAGAAAAGTGGTATTTTTGTATCAATTTCCAACGCTGATCGGCCGATCAGCGTTGGAAACAACTGGCTTTTTTTCAAATACTGGCCCCAATTGACTATTGCACTTGTTTGCAATCGATTACAAACCTATGAACGGGTACGAGCCAGCTAGACTGGTTCCCTGACCTTACAATTCCCCAATGTATGTAAACTGCTCTGTTTCTTCTTATATGGAGTCAGGGAACCAGACTACAGGTAAATGATCGTTTTTCTTGGTTTTTATAGCATTTTCGAACCCAAAACCTCCAAAAAGTCAGTGTAACTATATTTGCTTTATATTTCCAATCCCCCAATTCCATCCATTTCTGAAAATTACAGCAAAAGCAAATGATGTATATTCCCTTTAATAGCAGGTGTTTCCCTCGAAAGCTTGCCTTGCATGCTTGTCTGCACTTCCCCCATATACTATCTTTGTTTGACATGCAGGGTCACTTGGCAATCAACTCAGATACAACTCTTGATTCATCGTCATTTTGATTCCCGTTGTAGGCGACAGTTTCACGGATCATTATCCGAGCCTTAGACATTGTCACCATTGCCGTACCCCCGGCCCTACCGGCAGCCCTGACGATTGGTATGGTCTACGCACAGATACGACTCAAAGCACAGCAGATATTCTGCATCAGTCCGCAGAGAATCAACCTGAGTGGAACCATTGATATATTCTGCTTTGATAAGGTTAGGAGTAGAATAATGGAGTCATTCTATAAGTTTGGGGTCCACTTTTTCAAAACACTTAAAAAAGGATTTTTGGTTTAACTGTTAAGTTCCTGAATTTTTTTTTTTTTTTTTTGCTTTTTAATTTTTAGACTGGTACTCTGACAGAAGAGGGCCTGGATTTACTGGGAGTCCAAATGGCTGAGAATGGAAGGTGCCAATTCAATTTTAAAAATAAATTGAATTTATAAAATTGAGATTTTTGTTTTTGCTTGAAAATTGAGCGTGGAGCAGACCACCATACTTATTGAAAGTGAAAGTGTCCGTTTGTTGACGGTAATATGTACCATCATATATATTATTTTAGGCCTGGTCACATATTTTTGGTTATTATCTTTGTTGTTTCTGAAAATACTGAAATACCGCTACCCAAAAAGTAAAAAAAAAATATTCCTCAAATTTTGTGTGAAATCGTAGTACCACTTCATATGGCATATGCTACATGCATTCTTAATTGTGTCGACCACTTTTCAGATTTCTTCCGATGACTACATCAGTGTCCAGCCTTCCTATTGGTCCATTTACATCTACCATGGCAACATGCCACTCATTGGCTGTCGTCAACGACGAGTTGTCAGGTGACCCCATCGACCTGAAGATGTTCCAGGCCACAGACTGGGTACAATATCAGTTTGATGTTTAATTCATGTACTTCAGATTTTATCCGTTGTCACTTGTGTAGACCGGATGCATGAAACGACTTTAAGTCAGTCACAGCAGCTTATAGCCATTCTAAATCATCGAGTAGAATTTTGTGCGCTCCTAGACCAGCTTAATTGAGTCTAGCTCATCTTGTTATCTGAAGTTTAAAGCTTTAAAAAACTTGTTTGATGATATTTTTGTCAGACCTTCAAGGAACCGGACAGAACTTCAGGAGAAAAGTTCATCAAAGTAGAGCCGCCTAAGGACGTTATACAGATGGGTGATTCGTACAAAGAAAAGGTAACTTCTGACTTTATCTGCTTACATCAATCATTCATCATACTTTTGATGGGTTTCATGATCACAAGTTGTTCATGTTAAAAATAATGCCAATTACAATATAAATTGTCTTGTTTATCAGTTAAGCTGATCAAATTTATATTTAAATATTACAAACTCTCACTATGATTTGATGTAAATCTATTCCTTTTTTCTTCTTCAGACATTTCTGTTTAATGCAACTAATGAAATCCCCCCCCCCAAAAAAAACCCTAGTTTCTCAGCAAGTTTTCCATTTGTTTTGGCTGGGTTTTGTTTCTTGTTGCCAGGGTGATTACGGTATCTCTGTGTTACATCTGTTTCCGTTTTCCTCTGCCCTGCAACGGATGAGTGTCATTGCACAGACCGAGGGCGATGATCGCGTGGTTGCCTATGTCAAGGGCTCACCAGAGATTATCTCGTCGTTATCAAAACCAGAAACGGGTAAGAATGTCAAAAAGAACATATACTGAACTTTTGTGAAATTATTCCACAGTTAAATATTGCCAGTATTAGAATATCAATCTCAAAATCCTGGGTTTCCTTTATTTGAGTGCCTTTGAAGCAATCTGATTACGTTTTTTTTTTTTTTCGCAGTTCCTGATAATTTTCAGCAGGTACTCAGTAACTACACCCAAGATGGCCTCCGGGTCTTAGCTTTGGCCTGGAAACCTATCCAATATGAAGGAACACTGGATAATTTGAAGAATATGCAAAGGTATTTAGAAGTTTTAAGGCTTGTACGTACTTCAAGCAAAAGCGAGAGCACAGTAAATTTCATGACGTCAATAATTGAAGTTTCTTTGTTTTGCTGTTACCTTAACGACTTCGCTTCGCGTTGAAATTAGCATGAAGTTTGAACTGGCCTGCAGTAGCAAACTGCAATCCATTTTTGTATGGTAATCGTTGAAAATTGCGTTGTATTATTGTGATATGAATCAAGGAAAATCAATTGCTAGAGTTAAAATCAAATACTTCAGACAGAAGTTGTAATTATTACAGTTTGGCAATGAGGGGCTTCATACAACTACAAATTAGATAGATTTTGTGTGTTGTATTGACTTTTTAAGTATGGGAATACATGTGCTTGGCCAGTCTTAAACAAGTATGTTTAGAACTGGCTAGGAGCCTATGCTGATGATGGCCTCAGCCAAAGACTCAAAAAGTCAAAAAGTTATAACAATTAGGTCAAAAATTCACAAAATTCCAAAGATTTTGTGCGAGAGTTTGACTTCTTGCTTTGTGAAACACCCCTCTGGTCATGTCTATGGTATGTGCCTTGCGCGCATAGTACCAAAAATTGCCTTATATGGAAATTGGTGCATACTGTGCAATGTGGCGCAGAAAGCAGCGGTGTTTTACTGGCAGTTTAAACCACCCACTTCTCGGGCTCTCAACCAATAGGGATTGATAAACTGTCTCAGGTATTTATGGACATCAAATAATTTTGTTAAAGCTTAGGAATTGCTTATGCAGAAAAAGCACAAAATAAATTCAGTAATGTGTCAAAAAGCTTCTCAAGGAGAAAAAAGTCCCGGTGTTGGAATTGAGAGGTCACTGTCTGATGGGCTTAATTGTTCTACAGGAAGAATGTGGAGGAGGAGTTGGAATTCTTGGGTCTGATGATCTTGGAGAATAAACTGAAACCAGAGACCAGACCTGTCATTGAAGAGTTGAATCGAGCCAACATACGAACAATCATGATCACAGGTAAAAGTCACAGCAAATCTTGTCACACCATCCATGCCAGACATTGTGTCACATTTAACCTGTTTAAATATCAACCCTGATCTTAAAGGTTTGTAGCTAGAATTTTTGCTTTTGTATGCCTGTTTTTGTGGGAAGTACAAAATTGCACAAAATCTTAAAAAAGGTGCAAACCTGTTTAAGTTTCGATCAGCTCAGTTGACAATGTTAATTTTGAAAAAAAAACAGAGCAAACATGCCAAGTTTTTTTGAGGCTCGCAACTGGATTCCATTTTCGATATTTGAGAAAAAGTCTGTTAGTAGGCACACTTTTTAATTAAAAGGACCTTTAATTAAAACGACCTTCCTTGGTTGTCTTCTTCTATTTCAGGCCTAATAATTTCACAGGGTATTTGGTAGCATCCCTATTTTTGCTTTTCATATTTGCACAGTTTGCCTAATCTCAAAATGTTTGAGCTTGTTGACTTTATAATTTGTCTGTTTCCCAGGCGATAATTTACTAACTGCCATGAACGTCGCCTGTAAGTCGGGCATGTGTGGTCCGGACGATACGGTCATCCATATCCAAGCAGAGACACCTGAATGCTGCGACGATTCAACACCGATACTGACTTACAAGGCAGTTGACAAGGATCATACACCCACTGGCGATCAAATCGAGACCAAGAATTATTTCAAGAACAACGAAAAAGAGGCTCTGGAAATGAAGGTCAGAAATTAAAACTTTTGTGACTTGTGGAATCGGCTGAAGACAAAACTGTCCTGATTTCCAATTTTGTAAATACTTTCAAGGGTGCATAGTTTACCTGGATAGTGATTAAATTTACAAAATGTATCTGTTTAAACCATTTTAATTGGTTCCTTCCTCATTCAGTCATAATAAAGTACCCATTTCTGGTAATAATGCCTTTCTTCCAAAACTTTGTCAAAACTTCTTGCAATGAGCTAACAAAAAAAATGAACACTTCAAGTTGAAAACTGTGTGTTTTAATTGCCTTTTCCTACCCTTGTGTTACTTTGCTGTCAATTGTTTCCAGACAATCAAAGATGAAGTCAGTCCGATGTTAGTCAATAAGCCCCTAGCAGCCTGCAGGACCCACTATGCTATCGATGGAGCTACCTATGATGCCATCCAGCAACATCATCAAGATCAACTGCAAAATGTAAGGCACTAATAATAGTAATAATAACACTATTTATAGCGTGCATTTTCACAAGTATCCAATCGCGACTAAGAACAACTCCAGATAACAAGTTACAGATTATGTGGAGAGAACAGATCAGTTTTCAGTCTGCCCTTAAAGTTGTCAAGAGAACTGATGTTGCGGATGTTGTGTGATAAGGAATTCCAACACCGACAATTATTACTTGAATTGTAACTACGCCCATTGCCCAATGAGGAACGTAGACCATTGATGACTGCTAATTGGATTGGCATTTGGAGAGCTTCCTTTCAGGTGTACCCCAAGACTCTTAATTTAAGGCGTGGTGCCTATTGCCCATTAATTCTTTGACTTCTCATCTTCACTGTTCCTTGTTGATTCCAGGTCATCGTCAAGGGAACGATCTTTGCTCGCTTCTCGCCCAATCAGAAGATGTCTTTGGTAGAGGAGTTGCAGCATCTGGATTACTTCGTTGGGATGTGTGGAGACGGAGCTAACGATTGCGGAGCGCTGAAGACCGCTCATGCTGGTATCTCGCTGTCGGAGGCTGAGGCATCCGTTGCCTCACCGTTCACGTCTAAGATCCCGAACATCTCATGTGTGCCGATTCTTATCAGGTAAGGAAGGTCGAGGGTGTGGTCATTGGAGGGTGTGGTCAGTGATGTGGTCATTGGAGGTTGTGGTCATTGGGGGTGTGGTTATTGGAAGGTGTGGTTATTGGAGGGTGTGGTCATTGGTGGGTGTGGTCATTGATGGGTGCGGTCATTGGAGGGTATGGTTATTGGAGGGTATGGTTGCTGGAGGGTGTGGTCATTGGAGGGTATGGTTATTGGAGGGTGTGGTCATTGGAGGGTGTGGTCATTGGAGGGTGTGGTCAACGATGGGTATGATTAGTAGTGGGTGTGGTGAGGTCATTGGAGGATGTTATAATTGGAAGGTGTAGTAAGTTTGTAATATGGATGTGGCTAGTGGAGGATTTGGTCAGTGGAAGGGTGTAGTAATTGAAGGGTTTGGTCATCGGAGGGTGTGGTCATTGGAGGGTGTGGTCATTGGAGGGCGTGGTCAGTCTTTGGTCAAGCCCTTGTGTATAAAGTTTTTATCATCTCAAGATATCAAAGTTAACTAGCCCTGAATTGACAAAACTCAAATACTACAATTTTCCCCACCAATTACAATCAGGAATTCCCTCCATACCAGCACGTGCTTATGAGATACTGTCTGAGCTACTTCATTCTACTTTGCCTCAATTTTGTTTTTCTCCGTTCACGGAGGGGCGAGCAGCTCTAGTGACATCATTTGAGATGTTCAAATTCCTCGCCATGTACGGCTTGATTCAATTCATGTCAGTCATGATCCTGTACTCAGTAAGTTTTAAGCCAGTTTGAGGGACCTCAACAGGTGGTTCAAGATTTCATGAATTAACCCCGACATTCGTCTTTGTTTATTCCCCTCAAATGACGTTCTTACAGCCCGCCCTCAATTGTTAAAAAACACAAGGCTATTGTCTGCATTTACTTATCAGGAATGGGAGGGCGGCACTGGCGACATCGTTTGCTTTGTTCAAATATCTCGCTGTCTACAGCATGACCATGTTTGTTACTGTCGCCATTCTCTACTCAGTAAGTTTCAATAGTCGGCTTGTCTTGATGACGAGTTATCGCTTGTGAATTTGTTTAGTTCATCGTGTGCCGCCTGCATTTCATGTTTGCTTCCACGCTGTCCACTAAATGCTTCATAGTAAAAGACAACTTCTATTCATATGGATTCCAAGCATACCTTTACTCAAAATTCATAAATATCTAATGACAGTTTACCCATTCCAGTTGGCCGGGGGCCCGTCACATTGCATGGGTGGTTTTAAATGGCTGATAAATCACCGGCTGGTAAGACCACCACTACATCAGTGAGTCATGATGAGGCAAGATACAAGTGTGCAGGCCTACAGTGAGCTCAATACATTTAGTTTCACTGTGTAAATTGCATTTTCACAAGCGTCATAAAAGTGAATCTCGTGTTTTTCCATGTAGCCTGGTTTTCATTTTGCAACTTCTCCACAAATGACATTCAAAAGCTTTCTTTTTCATTGTCTGAAGTTATAAGTAATTTGTAAAGTTGGTTACGGGTACCCGATCCCATAATCTGGAACCGGTTCCTGACATCAGTGGTCAGTACTCGGGTACCCGGTTCCGATGCACAGCCCTTATTATATGTTTGTACATTTTTGATGGCCCATCCGTCTGTTTGGTTAATGCTGTTGACTGCTGATGAAAAAAACAAAATGTTCCTGGTCCACTAGAGTAGCGTTGTAACCCACTCCTGTCTGCTTCACATTCAGGAAGTAATGGGTTCGAATCCCGCCAAGGTAGCCAATCTCTGAAACCCCTCCTGCACTGCTCTCAAGTACTGGTTGTATTTTTGCATTTATCCCCAAAGTTACCTACCAAATTATTATTATTACTTGGATAAAAGATTGTACTGGTACTAAAGATCCCGTGAACTCATTCCGTCTGGCTTGCATGCTGTCATGTGGAAGGAATCTATAGAAATGTAGGTGATTTCAAACGATCAATCAAATGTGACCAATATTTCGGATGTACAGATCGAGTGCTAAAGACGAAATTGTGTTTCGTGATCAAAAGTCTGTGCATGGTTTTTAACTTTTTTTTTGTCAAAAAGTATAACATTCACTGAGCTGAGCTTCAACAGGTTAGGTTTTGAACATTTTTCTTTGGATTTTGAGTGGTGTTATTATTGGAAATGAACAAAATGCATGAAAAGCAAATTTATTATCCTGTATGCCTTTAAATGATGTAGTCTTCTTTCAAGGTTTAAAGTGGCTCCAAATCTTTATTCCTTTTCAGATTACATCCACGCTGAGCGATCTACAGTTCAATTACATAGACTTGGGATTGTGTACTTTAACTATACTATTGGGTAAGTTTGGAATAAATCCTTAGTATTCAATCTTAAAGGTACGATGGTAAATACCTAGAAACATACCTCCAATTTAATGAACAAAACCTAGCTCATAATGACAATAGGAATGGTTCCAATTACCCTGTGAAATTTAATTCCTCCTCAAATCGTATTGAAGGTGGTTTGAAAAAGTGTGCCCGCTGGCTCACTTTTTAAAAGCTGCACTAGCTTCCTTTGAATGAACTTTCAAGACTCCAATAAATTCAACACCAAATGATATTCTCACATTTGTCGTCATAGCAGTGAGTTGTCATGAAGCCCACACATGCTTCTTTTGAATAAACCTCTAACACTTCAGCAACCTCTCCCTTGTCTGCAGTACACAATACAGTCGACTCTCGTTAATACAAACACTGTTGATACAAATTCTGATATAACAAACATATTGGCTAGGTCAGGCTGACTTTGTATTAACGAGAGTTGACTGTATTTCTTGTTTTCTTTGGGGTGCTTTTAAAATGGGTGTCTTCATGAAGCCTAGGACAAAATATCCTTGGAGATTTCCTTGAATAAACTCAGGACCATATGCCCCTTCCTTTGATTCCTGCTTTAACATATTTCTCACTGTTTTTGTGTGTTTGGTGTCCTTGCAGTGAGTCGTGGTGAAGCGTATGAGAAGATCTCCGTCAAGCGACCGTTTACTAAACTCATGACATCGCCGGTACTCTTCTCCCTGGTCTCTCAGATTATTGTTGTCACCTTGATCCAGACGGCCACGTTCTTGGTGCTCCAAGCAATGCCATGGTAAGATCCAGTGAAATGTTCACCTTTTCTGCTGATATTCATCATCCCTATCGAAGTTTCCGTTCCCATTTTAAAATGAATGACAAAACTCTGGAGTTATTTCAATATAACCAATTAACACCTGTGATTAAATACATTGTAATTAAATAAGGGAATAAATGTGTGCTTGGTGGGTTTTAAACACTATGTTTAAGACCGCTTCAGTCTGGATGCTGATAATTACCCAAGCCAAAGGTGAGGGTCATTATCAGCATCTAGACTCCAACCAGTCGTAAACAGAGTATCTATTCCCATTCATATATACCTTTTTCGGTAAAAAAAAAAGCGCAAAAACGTTTCGGTCCAAAAGTGAAAACAAGTCAAAAATTATAAATTTCCAACAATTTTGTTCAACAATTTTACTTCATTTTTTTCCAAAACAAGTGTGTTTAAATTGTCCGCATCCAGACCCCTAACAGGTTTGAAACGTGCTTGTTTAAAATCGGCCAAGCACATATTTATTCCCTTTATAAAAGTAAAATCGGTTCGGGGTGGTGAAGTAGGCTGACTTATGTGCCTGTTCTATTCTAAGTGCAATTATTTTTTTTCATACATGTATTTTGGTACTAATCAATTGATACTTTTGGTGTCGTGAAACCTTTGGATACACTAGCGCTGTACAATAGAATTTCTGTCTGAAGTTTTGGTATAGTAATGAACAATCTTGAAAGGGAGAAAGGTTGAGTACTGTTTTCAATTGGCAGGTATGTTCCCCTGGTCCCCATCCCAGATGGGAGGAACCGAGAATGTCAGGAGACGACGTCTCTATTCCTAATCTCCTGCTTTCAGTATATCATAATGGCAGTGGTGTACACTCCAAAACCACCGTTCCGTCAACCGATCTACAAACTACGTGAGTATAGACGACAGATCTGAGTTTGGACATTGGAAGATTAGAACCTGCCATTGTATGACTGCATATACTTGGACCACTTAAAAAATACGGCCATCTTTGGGGACACATGCTAATTTGCAGGGGCACCACATGACCAAGATGGCAGTGCATGTGAACTAAACGGCGGAACCAAAATCAAATTATTACTATTATTATTCTTCAGGGGTTCATTCGCGTCAGCTGTAAAATTTGATTGAACACTAAGGGAAAAGGGACCAGTAGACAATAGTATGAATCAGCATCATTCCTTCTTCTCTGAATACCCCCACCTTGCCAATAACCTCACCTTTTTGGGAGGCCATGCCCCCAGAATCCACTGGTGCGCAGGGAAATGATTGACACACACACTTGACGTAACCACGTTTGTTTATGGTTTACAGGCATGCAGCTTTTCCTCGGATCTGCTGATTTCCTCGTTTTTTTACTTCTCATGACTGACATTACAAATTGAGAAATACTGTACAAAGTCTTGTGTGGTTTGGAGTTTCCTCTTTTTTTTTCTAAATTCCCAGTTGCATGCCTGGGTTTAAATCAAAGATTTTCTATTGTTTTTCTTGCTTTTTCCTTTGTTAATACTTTAACTTTTTTGCAACAGCTCTCATTGGTTTTGTACACGTTTTCTAATCGAGGTCGTCCTCGATTTGGTTCCTGTCCTCGATTCATCGATGATGTTGCATGTGTGTGTCCTCGATTTACACCATAAACACGCACACTTGCAATGGACACACAGAAAAGCCTGGTTCAAACTTCATTCAGATTTTCGAGTGAAATTAAGGCAGTGGAAAATTTTGCAATGAAACTGCAACTTGTTATTAGCAATATTAGAATGTTGGTTTTTAATCTTAAAGGGAAAATACAACATTTGCAAACATCAAAAAATAAAACTACCAAATCATTTTGAAATACCTTGCTGGACTGTTAGTGAATGACAGTGTAAAGCATCCTGTAAAATCATGGCACCTGGTATACTGTCATTTTCAAGAAAAGTGGTATTTTTGTATCAATTTCCAACGCTGATCGGCCAATCAGCGTTGGAAAAAACTGGCTTTTTTTTCAAATACTGGCCCCAGTTGACCATCGCACTTGTTTGCAATCGATTACACACCTATGCACGGGTACAAGCCAGCTAGACTGGTTCCCTGACCTTACAATTCCCCAATATATGTAAACTGCTCTGTCTCTTCTTAAATGGAGTCAGGGAACCAGACTACAGGAAAATGATTGTTTTTCTTGGTTTTTATAGCATTTTCGAACCCAAAACCTCAAAAAAGTCAGTGTAACTATATTTGCTATATATTTCCAACCCCCCAATTCCATCCATTTCTGAAAATTACAGCAAAAGCAAATGATGTATATTCCCTTTAAGATTGTGTTTGTTTTTTTGGTTTTCTTGTACAGGTTTATATTCAGCCTATTTGATTATCACGTTTGTTGGTACGACGTTGCTGCTCTATGTGCCAACAGCGCATACTGTGAGAGTCATGGAGGTTTGTATAGAAAAAGAATTCTAGCTTACAAATTGAAAAAAGTTAAAGTTGCAAAGTCCAAAAGACAAAATTCATTGATGGAAGACTTGCTCTGCTATGGACCAATCCAATCACAAGATCACTGTGCACTCAGGAAGGCCCCCCTCAATGGCAACAGCATTGTGCTAGCTATTGTTCAGATAATCTTTCATGGAGCAGTTGCTTTGTACAATAGCTTACACAATGAATCCTCCATTGATGGGGGCCTCGTGAATGTACAATGTCGTTAGTGGGCTTGGATTGGCCTATACTTCATGTTAAATAAATATTTGTGTGTTTACTCAATGATATTCATCCCCCCCCCCCCCCCCCCAAAAAAAAAAAAAAAGATGAAAAAACTAAAATGCCCGAGACAGCTTTGCTCCCCAGTCAAAAAAAAATGAAAATAGACAAAAATTGGACTTTCACATCTCATTACAGATGGTAGTTCTGCCTGATTACGTCTTTAAGACCTGCATCCTTGCTCTTGCTTTTCTCAACTTTGCCTTCTCTTGCGTCATTGAGGTAAGACAATGATACTAACCTCGTGCTCAAATTTTCCTGTTATTATTTGTTGGAGTAGCAACCAATGATCCTGAGAACCAAACCATTGAACTCGCCTTCACTATCTGAGCATATCGCAAGCTTATCAGTTCAAATAGATTCTGATTCATTCATCAACTCCATTGAGAATTGATTCCAAGTTTACCCATCCGAGGAAAAAAGCTGTGCGGGAAAACCTCAGTAATATCACTAAGGAACTGTATTGCTTTAATCACAAATGCAAGGTCAACCCTATACCGCCCTGAATCCTTCAAAATCCTCTTTGCCAAAGTGGAGGAATTTGGAGAATTGAGGTTACATGGCAAAAGTGCTTTACAGATTTTGTATAGTATGATGCACTTTGTCAAGGTCTTATGGGCCGGACCTTGTGTTGTTTTTGCTCAGCCATGCATAAATATAGGCCTGGATTATGCTTGAAATCCTCCGTACTGCTGCAGGATTCCACTGGCCAAGCCTCAACATATTGACAGTCACTGCCGCAGGATTTTCAGGATTCAGGCAGTGGTCACCCCTCCACGGACCATATTCAAGAAATAATGGAGGAATTTGCAGGATTGAGGCTACATCCTAGCAAAAATGCCTAGGGAGTAAGGGTTAAAGATTGTAATTCCTCTCTTATAATTGATCATTTACCACATAAATTTGGCAATGAAGTTCCTGGAGTCAGGGAACAGGAATTAATTCTACTGGGAATTGATTCCTCAAAAAAATTGGAATTACAATTCCTATTCCAGATTTCCTGTATTCAGATTTTTATATGCCCATATTTTTGTCTTTTTTTTCAACAAAATTACTTCTCCCAACTCACATAAGTGATGTATAATTTCCAAGTTAACCTTCTTTTTTGTCTGAATGATTTCAGTACATCCTGGTGCCCAGTCCCGCCTTTATTCGTTTTGTGTCCTGCGCCGCCTGGCGGAAATCTAGACCACCCAAGTACACACTGCTAGAGATGGACTACCACTGCCATGGAGACCAAGTCTGAGGGGTGAGAATGACCAGGGGTCACCTCTAGAGGGAGCTGGTCATTTACTAGGGTTACCATGCAGATATTATTGTCCTGTACGCAATCAGCAATTATTCGATATGCATGATGTCTAGATACTGGAAACATAATCATACCAAAATCAGCATTTGCCAATGGATTTGTATAATCCTTGGACCCGAAATGGGACGATTGAACATGATGCAATTTGTTATATCGGTGTACATATTATTCTTGCTCCTTTATACTTCAGAAAGTAGCTTCAAAATCATTGAAATGTGTCAGAGTAATTAATGTAAAGTACAGTGAAATATCGATAAGTCAAACTCTGATAACTCAAAAACAACTGTTAAATCAAACAAAGAATCCATTGCTTTCAGTAGTATAACAATGATATCACCCTGCTTGATTAACTCGAAACTCTGCTTAAATTAAATTTTTAACCCGTTACCTTGAGGTTTGACTCATCAAGATTTCACTGTAGTTTTAAATATAAGAACTGAGTACATCTTGGTATTTTGTTGAGGTATGATATGTTCAGCATTTATTCACATTAGCGCTGATCTCCAAACAAATTGGACATTTCTGGGACTGCCGTCTTAATGCACATAGCAGGCAGTATTTGAAAGTAGTAACTGCGCCATTGTTTTCCGAAAAGTTTATCGTCAGCATTGTTGTTTTCTTAGTAGCAATTGAATGCCGACCTGTAAATGAGACACATTTTCCATGTTGTGTTTGGTTCCTCGGAATTCTAGTCACTAAAATCGAGATCAGCTGATCAGTGCATGTCACTCAGAAGTTTGACAAATAATGTTGATTTCAATTTTGAACTGACGTGTAAACAGTTCAATCTGTGATGAGTTTTATTGTAAAGGTCTTTACATAAAGAAAATTGTCGATTGTTGCAACCTGACGCCACTTTTCATCAGTTGTGAACAAAGTCTATGGAGAGTCAAGAAAATTTTCTAAGTATTTCCTAACAAAATTGGAAATGTTTCTCAGTCCCAGATTCATGTCTTATCATCATTTTTGCAATGACTGACCTTCATGGAGATGATATATGAAGAAAAAAGTGGCGTCAGGTTGCAACATTTTTTCCAGCATATTTTTGAAAACCTGGGATCTCAGTTTTGGCGCCTAGCTTAAAGATGTTAAGTTGAAGAAAATAAAAGTTGAAGAGAAATATCAGTGAACATGAATTATACTGAAATCGGGTAACTATTGGTCATTTGCCAAAGTAAATAGAATAACAAACGGGTTGGACAGATTCAGTGTTGCTCTGAATGTAAATGCGAAAAGACTTAATTATCAAATCGAAAACAAAGCTTTTAGAATTAATAGCATTTCAGTATACCTTTTTTAAGGATTGTGTAATGTATACTTACTATTGTATGTAAATTGAAAGTGGAAGAAATCACAATTTTATAACAGCATTTTTATGAAAGTACATGTATAACCATATTTTATAGATTTTGTAACATCCTTGATAATTTTGATATAAAAATAATGGCTTTGCCAGTGGAATTAAATGCACTGAAATAGTTTAATAAAATGTTAGGGGAGCCATGATATTCATAGGATATCTCGAAAAAGTGAAGGAAAGGTTAAAAAAGTGGGATTTTAGAATAAGAAAAATACATGGTTCTCTTGCGTTGCAAATATTACCCATGTCTGACAACTGTCTTTTTGACTATAATGTTTACCATTTGAAAGCATTCTAATTAGTATTACTCCACTTTAACATGTGGAAATGTTGCCAAATATGTATTAGTAAAAAGTATGATCTGAACGGGCCTTATTCACGAGTCTGCCATATTGAATTGAAAGTGAGGCAAAATCTTAATATTTAGAACTAGCGAAGAGATATAAAAGCAACTTAATTCCTAATTAATTCCAGTCTGCTTCTATGAATAATTTTTTAATTTGTTATTAAAAATTCCCTAACGTTTAAAGCCAGATTAAAGAAAAAATAGACAGTCAAATAAGGCTGCATTGTGCCTGCATAAATAGTCTGGCACCATCTCATTGACCTATTAACACTTAATGAAATACGTTCAGGGAACTCGACAAAAATGCAAGGGGTTAGCCGTACTTTTTTGATGAAATTTGGTTAAAAATTGACTTTTTCAAAACAATGCAGAAATTCCTTTGAAAAGTCCATCCGTCCACAAATCGCATTGGAATGTGTTCTTGGGTCCCTTGGGCATCTTTCCTGCAAGTTTGAAGCAATTACATTTTTTGGCCAAAATTAGAAAAAATGCAAGGGGTTAGCCTTACTTTTTTAATGAAATTTTGACTTTTCAGTAAACAACGCAGAAATTCCTTTGAAAAGTCCATCCCTCCACAAATCGCATTGGAATGTCTTCTAGTGTCCCGTAGGCATTTTTCATGCAAGTTTGAAGCAATTTCCTTTTTTGGCCAAAAAAACGTTTAAAGCCAGATTAAAGAAAAAATAGACAGTCAAATAAGGCTGCATTGTGCCTGCATAAATAGTCTGGCACCATCTCATTGACCTATTAACACTTAATGAAATACGTTCAGGGAACTCGACAAAAATGCAAGGGGTAATTAGCCCTACTTTTTTGATGAAATTTGGTCAAAAATTGACTTTTCAGTAAACAATGCAGAAATTCCTTTGAAAAGTCCATCAGTCCACAAATCGCATTGGAATGTGTTCTAGTGTCCCTTAGGCATCTTTTCTGCAAGTTTGAAGCAATTTCATTTTTTGGCCAAAATTGAAAAAAATGCAAGGGGTAGGCTTACTTTTTTGATGAAATTTGGTCAAAAATTGACTTTTTCAAAACGATGCAGAAATTTCTTTTGAAAAGTCCATCCGTCCACAAATCGCATTGGAATGTGTTCTAAGGTCACTTAGGCATCTTTCCTGAAAGTTTGAATCAATTTCATTTTTTGGCCAAAATTGAAAAAAATGCAAGGGGTTAGCCTTACTTTTTTGATGAAATTTGGTCAAAAAATGACTTTTCAGTAAACAACGCAGAAATTTCTTTGAAAAGTCCTTCCGTCCACAAATCCCATTGGAAAGTGTTCTAGGGTCCCGTAGGCATCTTTCCTGCAAGTTTGAAGCAATTTCATTTTTTTGCCAAAATTGAAAAAAAAGCAAGGGGTTAGCCTTACTTTTTTGATGAAATTTGGTCAAAAATTGACTTTTTCAAAACAATGCAGAAATTCCTTTTGAAAAGTCCATCTGTCCACAAATCGCATTGGAATGTGTTCTAGTGTCCCGAAGGCATCTTTCCTGAAAGTTTGAAGCAATTTCATTTTTTGGCCAAAATTGAAAAAAATTCAAGGGGTTAGCCTTATTTTTTTGATGAAATTTGGTCAAAAATTGACTTTTCTCCAAACAATGCAGAAATTCTTTTGAAAAGTCCATTTGTCCACAAATCACATTGGAATGTGTTCTAGTGTCCAGTAGGCATTTTTCCTGCAAGTTTGAAGCAATTTCGTTTTTTGGTCAAAATTGAAAAAAATGCAAGGGATTAGCCTACCCCTTGATGAAATTTGGTGAAAATTGAAAACAATGCAGAAATTCTTTTGAAAAGTCCATTTGTCCACAAATCGCATTGAAATGTGTTCTAGGGTCCCTTAGGCATCTTTCCTGCAAGTTTGAAGCAATTTCATTTTTTGGCCAAAATTGAAAAAAAATGCAAGGGGTTAGCCTTACTTTTTTGATGAAATTTGGTCAAAAATTGACTTTTTCAAAACAATGCAGAAATTCCTTTTGAAAAGTCCATCTGTCCACGAATCGCATTGGAATGTGTTCTAGTGTCCCGAAGGCATCTTTCCCGCAAGTTTGAAGCAGTTTCATTTTTTGGCCAAAATTGAAAAAAATGCAAGGGGTTAGCCTTACCTTTTTGATGAAATGTGGTGAAAATTGAAAACAATGCAAAAATTCCTTTGAAAAGTCCATCAGTCCACAAATCGCATTGGAATGTGTTCTAGTGTCCCATAGGCATCTTTCCTGAAAGTTTGAAGCAATTTCATTTTTTGGCCAAAATTGAAAAAATTCAAGGGGTTAGCCTTATTTTTTTGATGAAATTTGGTCAAAAATTGACTTTTCTCCAAACAATGCAGAAATTCTTTTGAAAAGTCCATTTGTCCACAAATCACATTGGAATGTGTTCTAGTGTCCCGTAGGCATTTTTCCTGCAAGTTTGAAGCAATTTCGTTTTTTGGTCAAAATTGAAAAAAATGCAAAGGATTAGCCTTACCCCTTGATGAAATTTGGTGAAAATTGAAAACAATGCAGAAATTCTTTTGAAAAGTCCATTTGTCCACAAATCGCATTGAAATGTGTTCTAGGGTCCCTTAGGCATCTTTCCTGCAAGTTTGAAGCAATTTCATTTTTTGGCAAAATTGAAAAAAATGCAAGGGGTTAGCCTTACTTTTTTACTGAAATTTGGTCAAAAATTGACTTTTTCAAAACAATGCAGAAATTATTTTGAAAAGTCCATCCGTCCACAAATCGCATTGGAATGTTTTCTAGTGTCCCGTAGGCATTTTTCCTGCAAGTTTGAAGCAATTTCCTTTTTTGGCCAAAATTGACAAAAATGCAAGGGGTTAGCCTTACCTTTTTGATGAAATTTGGTGAAAATTGAAAACAATGCAAAAATTCTTTTGAAAAGTCCATCCGTCCACAAATCGCATTGGAATGTGTTCGAGTGTCCCGTAGGCATCTTTCCTGCAAGTTTGAAGCAATTTCGTTTTTTGGTCAAAATTGAAAAAAATGCAAGGGATTAGCCTTACCCCTTGATGAAATTTGGTGAAAATTGAAAACAATGCAAAAATTCTTTTGAAAAGTCCATCCGTCCACAAATCGCATTGAAATGTGTTCTAGGGTCCCTTAGGCATCTTTCCTGCAAGTTTGAAGCAATTTCATTTTTTGGCAAAATTGAAAAAAATGCAAGGGGTTAGCCTTACTTTTTTGATGAAATTTGGTCAAAAATTGACTTTTTCAAAACAATGCAGAAATTATTTTGAAAAGTCCATCCGTCCACAAATCACATTGGAATGTGTTCTAGTGTCCCTTAGGCATTTTTCCTGCAAGTTTGAAGCAATTTCGTTTTTTGGTCAAAATTGAAAAAAAACCAAGAGACTAGCCTTACCCCTTGATGATATTTGGTGAAAATTGAAAACAATGCAAAAATTCTTTTGAAAAGTCCATCCGTCCACAAATCGCATTGAAATGTGTTCTAGGGTCCCTTAGGCATCTTTCCTGCAAGTTTGAAGCAATTTCATTTTTTGGCAAAATTGAAAAAAATGCAAGGGGTTAGCCTTACTTTTTTACTGAAATTTGGTCAAAAATTGACTTTTTCAAAACAATGCAGAAATTATTTTGAAAAGTCCATCCATCCACAAATCGCATTGGAATGTTTTCTAGTGTCCCGTAGGCATTTTTCCTGCAAGTTTGAAGCAATTTCATTTTTTGGCCAAAATTGAAAAAAATGCAAGGGGTTAGCCTAACCTTTTTGATGAAATTTGGTGAAAATTGAAAACAATGCAAAAATTCTTTTGAAAAGTCCATCCGTCCACAAATCGCATTGGAATGTGTTCTAGTGTCCCGTAGGCATGTTTCCTGAAAGTTTGAAGCAATTTTTTTTTTTGGCCAAAATTGAAAAAAATGCAAGGGGTTAGCCTTACTTTTTGGATGAAATTTGGTCAAAAATTGACTTTTCTCCAAACAATGCAGAAAATCTTTTGAAAAGTCCATCCGTCCACAAATCACATTGGAATGTGTTCTAGTGTCCCGTAGGCATCTTTCCTGCAAGTTTGAAGCAATTTAATTTTTTTTGCCCAAAATTGAAAAAAATGCAAGGGGTTAACCTTACTTTTTTGATGAAATTTGGTCAAAAATTGACTTTTTCAAAACAATGCAGAAATTCCTTTTGAAAAGTCCATCAGTCCACAAATCGCATTGGAATGTGTTCTAGTGTCCCGTATGCATTTTTCCTGCAAGTTTGAAGCAATTTCATTTTTTGGTCAAAATTGAAAAAAAATGCAAGGGATTAGCCTTACCTTTTTGATGAAATTTGGTGAAAATTTAAAACAATGCAAAAAATCTTTTGAAAAGTCCATCCGTCCACAAATCGCATTGGAATGTGTTCTAGTGTCCCATAGGCATCTTTCCTGAAAGTTTGGAGCAACTTTATTTTTTGGCCAAAATTGAAAAAAAATGCAAGGGGTTAGCCTTACTTTTTTGATGAAATTTGGTCAAAAATTGACTTTTCTCCAAACAATGCAGAAATTCTTTTGAAAAGTCCATCCGTCCACAAATTGCATTGCAATGTGTTCTAGGGTCCCTTAGGCATCTTTTCTGCAAGTTTGAAGCAATTTCATTTTTTGGCCAAAATTGAAAAAAATGCAAGGGGTTAGCCTTACTTTTTTGTCGAAATTTCGTCAAAAATTGACTTTTCAGTAAACAACGCAGAAATTCCTTTGAAAAGTCCATCCGTCCACAAATCGCATTGAAATGTGTTCTAGGGTCCCTTAGGCATCTTCCCTGCAAGTTTGAAGCAATTTCATTTTTTGGCCAAAATTGAAAAAAATGCAAGGGGTTAGCCTTACTTTTTTAATGAAATTTGGTCAAAAATTGACTTTTCAGTAAACAACGCAGAAATTCCTTTGAAAAGTGCATCCGTCCACAAAATGCATTGGAATGTGTTCTAGGGTCCCTTAGGCATCTTTTCTTCAAGTTTGAAGCAATTTCAGTTTTTGGCCAAAATTGAAAAAAAATGCAAGGGGTTAGCCTTACTTTTTTGATGAAATTTGGTCAAAAATTGACTTTTCAGTAAACAACGCAGACATTCCTTTGAAAAGTCCATCCGTCCACAAATCGCATTGGAATGTGTTCTAGGGTCCTTTAGGCATCTTTTCTACAAGTTTGAAGCAATTTCATTTTTTTGGCCGAAATTGAAAAAAAAGCAAGGGGTTAGCCTTACTTTTTTGATGAAATTTGGTCAAAAAT